GAGCGGGGACGGGCAGGGGACCTGGGGCTGTGGCAGGGGCTGATGGAGCTGTGCTGTGCTCTGGCAGGTTTGGGTGAGGCCAGGGAGGTGACCCTGGCTCTGGGGTCTGATGGAGCCATGGCTGTGCCCCGCAGGTTCAGGTGACATTGGCAGAGTCGGCGGAGCTGGAGGTTTCACTGAGTGCAGGGGACACCTACAGGGGCTGTATCTGTGCAGATGAAGCCAAGACCTTCCAGTGGGGCGTGAGAGCCACCAGCCTGGGTACAGAGCTGCCACCACCCCACCCTGCTGCCCGGGGTCACCCTCAGGGGATGGGGTCAGGTGGGCAGGAACCCCAGGCACCTGGGGAGTCCTCCCTCGCTCCACTCCCACCCTTCCTGGGGACCCCCAACCCAGTCCAGCCAGCCCCACCCCAAGGCCAGGGGGCTGTGCTCAGGTTTGGGGGCTCACTGGAGACTGAGGGCCGTGTTTGTACCTTCAGGGGAGGTGAACATCACTGTGAGCACTGAGGCTCTCAGCTCCTCTGAGCCCTGTGGCAACGAGCTGCCCCTGGTGCCGGCCCAGGGCCGCGTGGACACCGTGATAAAGCCTCTGCTGGTGCAGGTCAGAGGGTTGTGGAGGAGGAAAATGGGATGGATTTGGGAGCAGGGCACAAACAGCCCTTGGGGGGCAGTGGGAGAGCACCCAGACATGAAGGCAGGGGTGACCAAGGGGACTGGGAAACAGGCAGGTCCCTCCTCCTGACTGACTCTGGTGCTGCTTCCTCACAGCCCGGGGGGATCCTGATGGAGAAGACTCACAGCTCTCTGCTCTGCCAGGAAGGTAGGACTGGCCAGGGGTGTTGGGCAGTGCCATGGGATGTGGGCCAGGGGTGCTTGGCCACTGGTCACAAGGGCCACCAGCCCAGAGGAGCCAAGGCTCAGAGTGCCTGGGCAGGAACGGGGTGGGTGAGGCTGCCACAGGACAGGCTGTGAAGAGCTGGGCATTCCCACTGTCATGGCCCTCTGTCCCCACAGGTGCTGCAGAAGTGTCCTTGGAGATTCCTGGAAATATCCTGGAGAGCTCCCAGAGAGCCCACATCACCGTGATGGGTAAGGGACAGGCCGGGAGGACCACGGGGGACAGGGTGGGTGCAGAGGTCCCCAGGCTCAGCAGGACATGGGACCAACCAGAGCTCACATGGAAGAGGACATGGGTGCTGGTGGCAAGGGCACAGCTGATGATGTGTCCCCCTGGCACAGGTGACATCCTGGGCAATGCCCTGCAGAACCTGGACAGACTCCTGGCCATGCCCTACGGCTGTGGGGAGCAGAACATGGTTCGCTTTGCCCCCAACATCTACATCCAGCAGTACCTGGAGAAAACGGGGCAGCTGCTGCCGGACATCCGCGCCAAGGCACAGGGGTTCCTGCAGAGCGGTCAGTGGGAGCCTGACTCCCTGTCTGGCAGGGACACCACTGTCCCACAGCCCCCTCCTCACTCCGCCTGACCCCCCTGGGGTCTCCTGGGCACAGAAATAGTGCCCTGTCCCCACGTCCCCCCGCAGGGTACCAGCGGGAACTGCTGTACAAACACGATGATGGCTCCTACAGCGCCTTTGGGAAGAGCGATTCCACAGGCAATACCTGGTGAGGGCTCTGCAGCTGCATCCAGGGCTCCCCCTGCCACTCAGGGAGCCCAGCGCTGACCCTCAGCCCTCCGGTGTCTCCCTGGCTCCAGGCTGACAGCGTTTGTCCTCAAGTCCTTTGGGCAGGCCCGAGCCTACGTGGCCATCGAGGAGCGGCACATCACGGACGCGCTGCGGTGGCTGCAGCAGCACCAGAAGAAGAGCGGCTGCTTCCACAGTGTGGGCAAACTCTTCAACAACGCCCTGCAGGTGGGGCAGGGCTGGGGTGGGGACTCAGAATGTGGTCTGGGCAGTGGGGGTGTCCCTGTGCTGGCGTCACAGCCCGGCCGGACCCGTGTCCCTCTGTCCCCTTGCAGGGTGGTGTCTCAGACGAGCTCTCACTCTCGGCGTACGTGACGGCAGCGATGCTGGAGCTGGGACTGCCCACGCTGGTGAGGATGCACCCTTCTTCCCCACAGGGACTGGTGGGGTGGGGACAACTGCTGGGGCAGGGGACTGGCCATTACAGGCCACCTTGCAGTGCAAACTGGGCACAGCTGGGGGCACTAGGCAGCACTGGGGTCTCTGAGCGAGTCCCGTGCCCTGGACTGGCCCCTAACTCTGCTGCCACACCAGGAGCCAGTGGTGAGCTCAGCCCTCAAGTGCCTGGAGGCTTCTCCCACGGACGACCCCTACACCCAAGCCCTGCTGGCTTACGTGTTCGGGCTGGCAGGGCTGCGGGAGCAGCAGCAGGCGCAGCTGCAGCGCCTGGCCCAGCACAGCGTCAGCGCAGGTACTGCCCGGCCAGGGCACTGTGGGCAGTGCCACCTCTGGGAGGGACCCCAGCCCAGCCTGCAGCAGGTGCTGAGCTGCCATCCCTTCTCCTGCAGATGGGCAACTCTACTGGAAGAGGAAGGGGCAGGCTCAGAAGGCCTTGGAGCTGTCCTGGGCTGCGGCTGCACCAGCCGAGGTGGAGATGACAGCCTATGTCCTGCTGGCCTACCTGTCCCAGCCCTCCGTGTCCCCTGCTGACCTGGGGACAGCGTCCCAGATTGTCCGCTGGCTCTGCAAGCAGCAGAACCCCTATGGGGGTTTTGCCTCCACACAGGTACCGGCCCTGGGCTCCAGAGGCTGCTCCAAACTGGCCCCTCCTGGGAGCCTGCTCAGGGGTGACCCTGGCACTGTCCCTGTGCACAGGACACCGTGGTGGCTCTGCAAGCAATGGCCAAATACTCCGCCCTGACCTACGGCAGCAACGGGGACGTCACGGTGACGGTGACATCGCCCACGGGGACGGTGCAGGACTTTGTGCTGGACAGCAGCAACCGGCTGGTGCTGCAGCGGGCAGCCCTGCCCCAGCTGCCGGGCACCTACGGGCTGCGGGCCCGTGGGCAGGGCTGTGCCCTGGTGCAGGTGGGTGCAGCCTGGGCTCCCTGTCCTGGGCCCTGTCCCTGTGCCCTCACTGGGCTCACCCTGTGCTGTCCCCCAGGTGACCCTGCGCTATAACGTGCCTCCCCCTCCCAGCACGGGGGCCTTTGAACTGCGGGTGGAGACGGAGCCGCTGCCGGGCACACCGAACCCGCAGTTCCTGCTCCGCCTCTGGGCACGGTAGGGACCGGGGCTGTCCCGGATTTCGGGAGGACAGCAGCAGCCAGGGAGGGAGGGAATCCCTAAGCCCACCCCGGGGCTCTGTCCTTGCAGATACAGCGGGGAGCGTCCCGCCACCAACATGGTTGTCATCGAGGCCAAGCTGCCATCGGGCTACAGCCCAGACAAGAAGTCTGTGGTGGAGGTGAGGAGCCCCCCAACTCCCTCTGGTCCCTGCCTGGGGGCTGCAGGACATGGAGGGACACCTGCTTGGGGTGCTGGGCACCCATGGAGCAGCTGTGGCCCCTCCTGAGCCCTGTCCCTGCAGCTGAAGAGGCAGAACCTGGTGAAGAAGGTGGAGGTGCAGCCTGACCAGGTGACCATTTACCTGGACCAGGTGAGATGGGGACAGGAGCAGGAGCCCTGAGATGTGGGGGGTTTCCCCATGGTGGATGGCTACACCTCCTCCTTGGGCTGTCTCCACAGCTGAGCAAGGAGGAGGAGACCTTTTCCTTCCAAGCCCAGCAGGACTTTCTGGTGAGCAACCTCCAGCCAGCCACCGTGTCCCTGTATGACTACTACGAGACAGGTGAGCCCTGCAGGGCCAAGTGCCCCGGCCCTGCTGCCAGCCCTGCAGCCCCAGGGGCTCAGTGGGGTCTGACTGATCTCTCAGCTCCCACTGATGATCTCTGGCTCCTTAAGGGAGCAGCTCCTCCCAGGCCCATGGTCACCACCTCTTCCCATTGCAGGTGACCGTGTGGATGTGGCCTACACTGCACCCCCCAGCTCAGGTAGGGGCTGAGCCTGCCAGGCCAGGGCTCACCCCACCCTCGGGACCCTCGGGGACCCCAGGAGAAGGAGGGCAGGGAATGGGGACAGAGGAGCCCATCCCAGAGTCCTGCCCTGATTGTTGGGGATTTGCTGGGCAGAGCTTGGGGCAGAGGTCAGGGACTGGCACTGGCAGCCTGCCCAGGAGTGCAGGCTGGGGGTGCAGGAGATGCTGTGCCTCTTTGAGGGGGCTCAGCCCCCATCAGCCCTGGACTTCCTCCAGCGCCCCCCTGGAGCTCCCCACCCTTGGGGTCACACAGGGGATGGGGCTCAGCCAGAGGGTCAGGGGCAAGCAAGGGTGGTGGTGGGGGGTTCTGGGGACTCTCCTCTCACAGCAACCCCATATTCCATTTTGAAGAGAAGGAAAACATATAACTCAGCCTGGAGCCTGGCAGCCCATCCCTGTCCCAGCTCCTGCAGCCACCAAGGACAGGGACAGCTGAGGGTCTCTGCTCCCACCCTGGCCATGGTCCTGACCCTCCACGGGGGACAGGAGGTGGCCCAGAGACCCTCCCAGCAGCACTGGCCCCCAGCAGGGCCCCTCCGGATGGAGCCACAGCCCCAGGATCTGCAGCCGAGGGGCTTCTGCAGGCCCAAGGACACACATGGACACGGCTGAGCAGCCACAGTGGGAACTGCACAGGGACACCCCCCAGGCCACCTCCTGCCAACCCTGCACAGGGGCTCTGGGGTGCCAGCTCTGGCCTCTCCCCTCCCCACAGCACCTGAAGGAGACCCAGAGCTCCTCCCTCATGCCAGAGCTTCCCTGGCAGGTCCCCACCACTCCTTACCCACCCTGGGATCCACAATGCCACCCCAGCCCCCTCCCCAGCACTGACACAATGCTAGTGTCACCTCAAGGGACTTGGGGACACTGCAATCCCAGCACAAACCAGTCAGGTGCCTCTTGGAGAGAAGCTAGGGCCTGGTGGACCCCAGCCCCTGCCCTGGGTCTAAATAAAGCAATGCAGTCAAGCACTTCTTTACTCTTGGTCTTTCTTCTCCTTGAGGGAGAAGGGGGTGGGGACAGAGGGGAGAGGTTGGCTGCTGTGGCTTGGGGCAGCAGGTGAAGGTCAGGAGAGTCAATCCCTGTCAGACAAAGTTGGGTGAGGTCTTGAGGCATGAGCAGCTGTACAGAACACAGCCAGCAGTGCCCTCTCTGCCTGTGACATGGCACAAGGGCATGTACAGCATGGGTCCTTCACCTCACCCAGGCACATGACACAGCCCTGGGCACCCTCACAGGTTAATTAATCTCTGCTGTCCTGAGCAGCTGCTCCAGGCAGAGGTACCACTCTGTTCTGCCACCTCAGTGACAAATCTGGCCCAGAGGTGTCCCCCAGAGCCACACCCTCCCTGGGGACAGCTGGGGCTGACATGGATGCTCCTGTGATGTCCCCAGGGTGAGTCACTGAGCAGAGCCAGCCTGGTGACACCTGGAGCTGTGGTCAGGGACCAGGGCCACAGCACTGGAGCCAAATGACCCCTCTGTGCCCAGGGGAGGGCATGAGGCACTGTCACAGCCAGGCACGGAATAAACAAGGTGTGGCCAAACCCCAGCCCTGTCCCCAGGGCTCCTGAGGTGGCAGTGGGGCACAGGAGCCAGCTCTGTGCCCCGAGCAGAGTCTCTTGCTGGGGATGGAGCCACTCCCACCTCACTTGTGGCGCTTCTTCTTCTGCTCTTTGCGCTTCTGAGCCCTCACATCCTTCTTGAGGCGGCTGTCGACCACCTTGAACTGGCCCTTGACACCGGGGGGACGCCGCACCCGGCGTCCCACGCCCTTCTTGGCCACCAGGTAGGTGACCTGCCGCTTCTCCTTGGCCAGCCCGGCCTTCTTGTAGATGCTGCAGGAGAAGGACAAAGGTCAGAGTGAGTTTGTGTGGGACAAAAACCAAACATGGTGTTGGGACAACATCGGGTCCCGCTCCTCCTCTGGCTCTGCCACCCCCAGATCAGCCTGGCTGGGGACACAGAGCTGTCCCAATGGCTGAGGGGACATGGCCCCACCACGGCCAAACCACAAAGGGATGAGCTGGATCCTGGCTTGGCCACTCACCGGCGCAGCTGGGCCACCTTCTCCCGCTCTGAGATGTCCACGGTGCTCACCACAGCCTCGGCCTTCTTCTTCATCTGCTCCAGCTTCTTCAGCATCTGGGGGACAGCCAGGGGGGGACAGAGGGTCAGGGGAGGGACAGAGGGTCAGAGGTGGGATGGGGGTTAGAGGAAGGATGGAGGATCAGAGGTGGGGTCAGAGGAGAGACAGGAGAATTGGAAGAGGGATGGGGGGTCTGCTCTTTCGACAGGGGGGTCAGAGATGGAACAGGGGGGACAGAAAAGGATGGGGAATCAGAGATTGGACAGGGGCATTGGCAGAAGAACAGGGGGATCAGAGGGAAGACTGAGGCTCTGGGAGAGGAGTCACGGCACCCCTGGGAGCCCATCCCCACTCACCCTTTTCTTCTTGCGGGCCTTGGCCTCTGCCACCTTCTTGATGGGGCGGGCGTTGATCTCCTTCCAGCGCTGCCGATAGGCCTCCACTGTCTGCTTGTCCACGGGCAGCTGCCGGCGCCGGTGCTGCCGCTCCTCCTCCGTGAACCACTCGGGCAGCTCCCCCTCCTCCTCGTTGTACGAGTACCTGGAGGGGCCAGGTGACCTGTGAGCAGGACATGGGGCCCCACTACACCTGTCCTGCAGCCCCTGCAGCCCCCAGCTGGTACCTGTTGAAGGAGTCGTCGATGAGGTCCCGCCGGGCCTTTTTGGAGGTGGCAATGACAGAGCCAAGGGCCAGACCCTCAGCATCCAGGACTCTTTTCACTGTGGGACATGGGACAGCTTGGCCTGGCTGCAGCCCAAGAGCCAGGGAGCAGCCCTGGGGAGCATGGTCTGTCCCTGCCCCCATCTCCTGTCCCTCCCAAGGGACCCCCAGGTCTGTCCCTGCCTCCTGTCCCTCCCGAGGGACCCCCATGGCCCCCCACTCACCTGGTTTCTCAATAGGCACCACCTCGAAGCCACAGGGCTCGACACGGCCCCGCTTCCTCCCCACCGGTGCCAGTGGCCTGTGGAGAGGAGTGGGCAGGGCTGGGGTCTCTCAGCTCTTCAGGACTGTGGAGCTGAAGGGACACCCAGACCCCCCTCAGCCCTCACCTCTCATCCTCACTGCTGCTGTCATCGTCACTGCTCTGCTCCTCCTGAGCTTCACTGGCATCAGGATCTGTGGCTGCTGCAGGGCTGGGCTCAGCTGGAGCCTCCTCCTGGGCCACCTTCTTCTTCTTCTTCTTCTGCTCTTTCTTTGTTGTTTTGTCTGGGAATGGGAAGCACTGTGTGAGACAGAGCCAAGGCAGACCCTGCCACCAATCCTCCGTAGAGATCCTGCTCATTAACACAGCACTAATGACAGCTTGTTAGTGACACAGGCTGGGAACACTCTCTGGTCTAGTGGGAGGGGTTCCTGCCCATGGCCAGGCTTGGTGCTCTTTGATGTCCTTTCCAACCCAAACCATTCCATGCTGCTGCTCAGGGCAGCATCCCTTATTGAGGCTGGACCAATGCTCCATATTGGGACTGTCCCTGTGTCCCCTCACCTCTCTGAGCCTCACGCTGCCTCTCAGCCAACATCTGGGCCTGGCCCAGCTCCAGCTCCTCGTCCGCATCATCCTCGATGCCAGCGAAGGCGTCCTGGCATGGGGAACAGAGGGGTCAGACCCAGGGCAGGCCTGAGAGGGGCCAACCCCGGGGAGGAGGCGGGGGGAGGGGTCAGCCCCAGAGCAGTCCAGGGAAGCTGCTGGGGCTGAGGCTACCCCATCATTCCTGCCCCACAAGTGGGACTCACCTTCCCGAACCACAGGCTGGTCTGTCGCTCTTCCAGCACAGATTTCTCCTCCAGGGGGACCAGCAGGGGATTCTCCACTTCCTGCTCCTCCTCCTCCTCCTTCTTCTGCTTAAACTTTGCCCTGTAACCCGCAGCAGCAAGATCAGTGTCCCCAGCCCTGGCTGGGTCCTGGAGCTGTTCCCAGGGCAGCCCCTGCCCCAGGAGGTCTCTCCCCTCTCACCTCTTCCCTGGCTGCTCCCGCTGCAGCTTCCGCTGCCGGGCCTCGATCTCCAGCAGCTCCTCCGGGTCCAGGTCGCTGGCCAGGGACACATCGTCCTCTTCGTCGTGATCCGACACGTAAATGTCATCGTCCCCAGGGCTGCTCTCCAGCAGGGCGTCAGCAGAGGCCATGTCCCCGCGGGACAGCTCATCCAGCAGCTGCAGCACAGCTTAGAGTCACACAAATGACACGAGTGACAAGCAAGCCCTGCCTCACACCGCTGTCCCCAGGAGCTCCCCACCCACCGGGGTCCTGTGGATGCTCTTCAGGGAGAACATGCTGGTGTCACCATCGTCGGCGATGGACACTCCAGGCAGGTCCATCTTCAGCTCCACACGCTCCCGCTGCTTCCTCTGCTCCTTCAGGATCTTCTTCTTCTTCCTGGACGAGGCAAAGGAATGAGGCCACACTGTCCTCACCACACACAAACACCCCAGAGGCTCAGCTCCTGCCACAGCACTGCCAGCCCCCTGCAAGGGGTCCCCAGTGCTGGGACAGCGTGGAACACTGTTTGGAGGAGCAGATGAGCCCAAGGACCCCAAACCCACAAACCCCCCCAGCAGAGGGACAGACTGACTCTGTCACCCTCTGTCTCCATGGCTGCAACCCCATCCCTCCTCCTCTTTCTACCTTTTCAGCTCTGCCAGCTCCTTGGCCTTCATTTCTGCCAAGGCCAGCTCCACCTCCTCTTGCTCCTTTGCCTCCTCAGCAGCCGCAGCTTTCGCCTCCATCTTCTCCTTCTTCTCCTCCTCCCTGCCCTCCTCCTCCTCACCGGAGCTCAGGCTGCCAAAAGGAAGGAGCTCAGAGAAGCTGTGCTGGGGACAGCCCATCCCAGCGTGGGGACAGCCCATCCCAGCCTGGGAACAGTCCTGCTCCCTGGCCCTACTTGATATCCAACTCCTTTGCCTGCTCCTTCAGCTTCTTGGCCAGGAACCGCCGCAGCTTCGTCCTCCAGTTCAGCAGGGCCCTGGGTGGGGTGGCAGCTGTTAGGGACAGCCAGCAGGGCCAGCTGGGGGGTGTGGCTGTCCCCCAGGCCCAGCTGCAGGTGTGGCTGCCCCAGTGTCCCCCAGCACCTGAGCTCCTTGCGGCCCAGCACTCGGATGTCCTTGCAGCACTGGCGCAGCTCCTCTGTGGTGGAGCTGTGATTCTCCAGCTCCCCATTCCCCAGTGTGATCTGGCACAGGAAAAGGGATTTGAATTTAAATCCCAGCCTCCCCTCCACAGGACAGGGAGTCCTTCCAGGCACCCACCTCATTGGCCTTGGAGAGGAAGTCCACGGGGTTGGGAGCCTTGAGGAAGTCCATGAGGGTGAAGCGGTGGTACAAGGTGGTGTCACCCTCGGCGTAGCCTTCGGCCTGCGGGGAAAAGGGGCTGTGGCAGACAGGGCAGGGGACACACAGGCAGATACCACCAGCCCTGAATGGTGGATGGGGTCACATAACTCATGTCTTGCTGCAGTGGCCACGTATATGTGCCTGTGGATTGTTCTTGAGGACTTTAGAAATCATTTCCAGCCTCAGCCTGAGCTAGAAGAAGTCACCAGTCCCAGCCCAGCAGCAGCTCCCAGCCCCCCTCAGACACAAGAGCTGACAATGGCAGAATTTTGTCAGCTCCACGCTCAATTAAGACCACCTAACACAGACTGACTGTCCTAAAGCCACCTCAGAGAGGCACAAACGCCGTGCTAAATCCCTGTAGGGTTCTAATCCCTAATCTGTAGGGTTCTAATCCCTGTAGGGTTCTAATCCCTAATCTGTAGGGTTTAACTGACCCAGTCCCAGCCTTACAATCCCCACTCCAGCAACTTTAGGGCTCCAAACCTCCCCCAAACTGGCTTTTCCAACACTTCCCATCCCAAAATCTTGCATTCTTCTGAACAATTTTAATTCCCTCAACCTCTTCAGGCCCAGTCCCATTTGTGTCTGGCCTTGCTCATACCTTAGGCTTCTTTTTGCTGACCAGCTCACTGACAGACTTGGCGGTAACCTCCACATCCTTGAAGGCATATTTGGGGTCAAAAAACTTGCTGTCAATTTTGTCTGGAGCCTGATAACCTGGAATGGAGGGATGAGAGCCACGAGAGTCATTCGTCTGGGATAGAGGGCTCACAACCAACCAGAATGGAGGAATCAGAGCCATTCCTCCTGGGATGGAAGGAACAGAGCTACTTCTCTGGGGAGAGAGAGCTCAGACCCATTCCACCATCCCAGGAGGAATCAGAACCATAAAAACCATTCCTCCTAGGATGGAAGAATCACAGCCAGCAGAGCCATTCCTCTCAGGATGAAGGCATCAAAACCACTCCTGCTGGGATGGAGATCAGAGCCACTCCTGCTGGGATGGAGGGATCAGAGCCACCCAGAATGGAGGGATCAGAACCATTCCTGCTGGGATGGAGGGATCAGAGCCACCAGCAGGTTCTCCCAGCCCCTCCAGGTCCCCCTGGCTGCTCACCCTGGCACACCACAAAGATCTCAGCAGACTCGTTGCGAGAGGCCTGGGGCTTGGTGGCCTGGACCTTCTGGAAGAACTGCTGGAAGATCCACAGCAGGGGCTGGTAATCCCGGGAACGGAACACCTTGGTGATGAACCAGCCACCCTTGCACAGGAACTCACAGGCCAACTTCAGGGCCATGAGGGTCAGGTTGGCTGCAGCAGGAGAGAACAAGGAGTGACGGAGGGAGGGACTGACCCTTCACTGGGAGGGTAGAGACAGGCTGGAACGGGTTTCCCAGACAAGCTGTGGCTGCCCCATCCCCAAGGCCAGGCTGAAGGCTTGGAGTACCCTGTGACAGGAGAAGGGACCCCTGCCCATGGCAGGGGTGGCACTGGATGGGCTTTAAGGTCCCTCCCAAGCCACAGCAGCCTGGAACTCTAGGAGCAAGGAGATGTCCCTCTGTGCCCACCCTGGGAGTAGGCGTCGTGCACCCAGCTGGCTCCCACGTTGGGTGCTCCATCGTTCAGCACCACGTCCACCTTCCAGGTCTGCAGCTCCTTGCGCAGGGCCTGTGGGACAGGGACACCCATTTGTCCCTCAGCGAGGACCCCAGCCCATCCCCTGTGACCCCCCTGCCACCACGGAACCTGCAGAGCCCCAGGCCAGCAGGTGACCCTGGGGCAGTGGCACCATGATATTTTATGAAAATCTCTTTGCCAGGATTTTTTCTCTTGAGAATCTGAGAAAAGAATAACAGTAACTGTCTGCTGCTGTGAAATGCAACAGGTGCATCTTTGATTGGTCCATGTTGGTTGTTTCTACTTAATCATGGTCCAGCTGTGTTGGACTCTCTGAGAGCCACAGGTTTTTATCATTCATTCCATTCCTTTCCAGCTTTCTGATAGATCCTTCCTCTCTATTATTTTCAGTATAGTTTTAGTATAGCATTTTAACATAATACAATATCATAATACTATAAATCACTTTTCTGAAACACGGAGGCAAGATTCTCATCGCTTCCCTCGTCCTGGGGAGCCTCAAGCACAACCACAGGGCAGTACCTGGCGGCACTTCTCGGTGGTGATGTCCTCCTGCAGGGTCACCACGTTGGGAATGGGCTTGATGGGCACCAAATCCACCCCTGGTTGAAGAAACACAGCAAACGCCCTCAGAAGGGGCTCCAGCCCATCCCAAGTGGCTTCCCCACCCAGCCCCCCTCCTGCCAGGATCCCCTGTGTCTGTCACAGCCAGGGACTGTCCCCAGCTCCTGCCAAACGCTGCCACTCACCGATGATCAGGCTGGACACCGGCATGAACTTGGAAGCCACCTGAAGCCTGGGAAGAAGAGAGAGGAGCAGGGCTGCAGCAGGAGCCCAGGAGAGCTCTCAGCCTGGCACCGTGCTGCCGGGGGCTGGGACAGAGCACAGGGACAGCCCCGGGCCAGCTGGTGGCACTGTGGGCGGCCTGTCCCCACTCACCACCCGCCAGGGGCCGCACACAGGTCCAGCAGGGCCCGGGCCTTCTGCAGGAACTGGAACTTGCGATTGAGCTGCAGCAGCTTGAAGGAGGAGCGGGAGCGGAAGCCTGGGGGGAGCACGAGGGTGGTTCAGGGGATGCCCGGGCCCGCAGCCCCCCGTCCCCAGCGCCAGGCACGGCCCTCACCCGTCTCCTTGGCCAGGTGGTAGAACTTGTCCCGCCGGCTCTTGCCCAGTTTGCTTTTCTTGCCCATGGTGGTGGTGGGGCGGCCCCTCGTGGGGGCTGGGATGTGCTGTCAGCCGAGGGCTCGGGCCTGGGGGGACACGGGGCTGAGGGACGGCCTGGGGTCCCCGAGGCGCTGCGGGGGAGCCCCGGCCTCCCTCGGTGTTCTCTCAGTGTCCTCCCAGTGTCTCCTCCAGTGTCCCCCCGTGTCTCTCCAGCTCTCTCTCAGTGGTGCCCGCGTTACCCCTCTCCGTGCCCCTCCAGTTCCTCCCTCACCGCCCTCCCAGTCCCCCCCAGCGCCCCCTCATCGCTCCCGGCACTGCCCCCTCAGGCTCACCCGCGCCCCGGGCAGCCCGGCCCCGCTGTTCTCCCCTGAAGCCTGCCACCACCCGGGCTCGACATCCCCCCAGCCCTGACAGCCCCGTACCCGCTTCCCCAGCCCGAGCCGCCACCGGGACCCCGACACCGATCCAGACCCTTCCCCCGACACCGATCCAGACCCGATCCCGATCCCGATCCCGATCCCGCGGGACCCCGACCCCGATCCAGACCCTTCCCCCGACCCCGATCCAGACCCGATCCCCATCCAGACCCTGATCCTGATCCTGATCCTGATCCTGATCCCGATCCCAGTCTCGGTCTCGGTCTCGGTGCCGGTCCCGTCCCGCCGCGTGCCCGCACCGCCTTCCCGGCGTGCCCTGCGCGAACCAGTCAGCTTCCTCTTCCGCCTGCCCTGGCCGCCATTTTAGGAGTGGCGCACCCCTCCTCTGCAGCCTGCGGGCGGAAGAAGGGGAAGGATAACGGGCTCCCCGGAAGTGCGGTGAACAATAACGAGCCCGCTCGGTGGCGCGATCGCAACTCTGTCCGTCTCTTCCGGAGCTTTACCCACGGACACATCACCTTCGACCACCCCAAGATGGCAGCGCAGTCCCGACAGGAGTGATTGCGCATGCGCACTGCGCGGCCCGGCAGTGTGTTTTCCGGAAAGGGGAAGTGACGCCCTCAAGCCGGGCGTCGGGGGCCGGGCAGCGGAAGCCGGCGGCCGCCATCTTTGTTGGGGCCCGATGCCGGCGGAGAAGATGGCGCTGGACGGGCCCGAGCAGGTGCGGACGGACCGGACCGGGATGGGGGGAACCGGCGGAGCTCGGGGAGGGACTCCGGGTGCTTCGGGCTGCCCGGGCTGTGCTGCGGCCGGGGCTGCTCGGGGCCTGGCAGCGCCGTGACTAGGCGGGTTTGGGGAAGGCGGCGGAGCCTGAGCGGTGGGACGGAACCGGGACAGGACCGGGGGGCTCGCAGGGGAACGGGAGCTGGGGCTGCTGCGCGCACCTGGGAGGACGGGACTCGGGGGTGTCGGGCAGGGAGTGAGGGGAGGGGAGGGAGGGGACGCTCGGGACCCTCGCGGGAGGGGGGTTCGGGGATTGGGACCAGGATGGGAGGAGGGAAAAGAGGAGCCAGGAGCCGGCCCAGGAGCGGCGCTGCTGGGGGAATCGGTGCCGATGGATGAATCGGGGCCCGACGGGGCTGCTGGGTGAATCGGAGGCCGGCGGGGCTGCTGGGGGAATCGGGGCCCGGCGGGGCTGCCCCGAGGCCGGCGGGGTGCGGGGCGTGTCGGTGGCGCTGAGCTCTGCTGTTGCAGATGGAGATGGACGACGGGAAGGGCGGCTCGGGGCTCCGGCAGTATTACCTGTCCAAGATCGAGGAGCTGCAGGTAAGCACAGCTGCGGGGGACACCGGGACCGTGTCACTGTGCTTCCAGCCGGGATGGTGTGCCCGTGCCCCAGGGCTGTGGGCAGGCAGGACCTGCTCTGGGGGCGCTGGGGACACGAGGTGGGGCTGTGCTCCGAGCTGGGGCTGCTCCTGTCCAGGTCTCTGTCCCACTGCCAGAGGGCAGGGATGGATGGGAGATTGGGAATTAGGAATTGTTCCCTGGCAGGGTGGGCAGGTCCTGGCACAGGGTGCCCAGAGCAGCTGTGGCTGCCCCTGGATCCCTGGCAGTGCCCAAGGCCAGGCTGGGCATTGGGGCTGGAGCAGCCTGGCACAGTGGGAGGTGTCCCTGCCATGACAGGGGTGGGATGAGATGAGCTTTAAAATCTTTTCCAACCCAAACCATTCCACGATTCTCTGTGCTGGGTGTGCCTGAGCCAAGGCCACTCAGCAAAGCCTTTCCCTGCAGCTCATCGTGAACGAGAAGAGCCAGAACCTGCGGCGGCTGCAGGCACAGAGGAACGAGCTCAACGCCAAAGGTAGGGCCTGGAGCTCCTCCTGCTCCCCTGGGCTGGGCCTGGGGGCTCTGAGCTGAGCTTTGGGAGCTCTGGGCTGGGCTTTGGGGCCTCTGGGCTCCCCCTCGGGGGCTCCAGCTGCCAGGGCTGGTGCTGAGCTGTCCCTCCCCAGTGCGGCTGCTGCGGGAGGAGCTGCAGCTGCTGCAGGAGCAGGGATCGTACGTGGGAGAGGTGGTGAGAGCCATGGACAAGAAGAAGGTGCTGGTCAAGGTACGAGGCTGAGCTGCCCCCAGGTGACAGGGCTGGGCTGGGGGACAGCCCCATGTCCCCACAGGGCATGGGACAGCTCGGGGACGTGGAGCGGGAGCTCCTTGTGCAGAGGAGCTTGTTGGGGTGGCTCTGCTGGGCCCGGGGCTGCCCTGGGTGTGCAGTGGGGTTGGAGCTCCTGGCTCCTGCTCCTCCCAGGCCATGGGGATGTCCCTCAGCAGGGAATTCCCAGGGAAACAACTCCCGGGGGTCTTTGATCCTCTACAGGTGCACCCAGAGGGGAAGTTCGTGGTGGATGTGGACAAGAACATCGACATCAATGATGTGAGTGCCCCGGGGCTGTGGGGGTCCCCAGGGCTGGCAGGGACACCCACCCATGTGCTGTCCCCACAGGTGACCCCCAACTGCCGCGTGGCCCTGCGCAACGACAGCTACACCCTGCACAAGATCCTGCCCAACAAGGTGGATCCGCTGGTGTCCCTCATGATGGTGGAGAAGGTCCCAGACTCCACCTACGAGATGATCGGGGGCCTGGACAAGCAGATCAAGGAGATCAAGGAGGTCATCGAGCTGCCCGTGAAGCACCCGGAGCTCTTTGAGGCGCTGGGCATCGCGCAGCCCAAGGCAAGTGCTGCTCGGGGGGCCCTGGGCTGGCCCGTGGCCCCAGGCAGGCTCTGAGGGGCCGTGTGGCCATTGCAGGGGGTGCTGCTCTACGGCCCCCCCGGCACAGGGAAGACGCTGCTGGCCCGGGCCGTGGCCCACCACACCGACTGCACCTTCATCCGCGTGTCCGGCTCCGAGCTGGTGCAGAAGTTCATCGGGGAAGGTACGGGGGCGGGGGTGGCTCTGGGACTCCTGGGGGCCGCGTGGGCTCGGGGCCAGGCTGAGCCCGGTGTCCCCAGGGGCCCGCATGGTGCGGGAGCTGTTCGTGATGGCGCGGGAGCACGCGCCCTCCATCATCTTCATGGACGAGATCGACTCCATCGGCTCGTCGCGCCTGGAGGGCGGCTCTGGCGGGGACAGCGAGGTGCAGCGCACCATGCTCGAGCTCCTCAACCAGCTCGACGGCTTCGAGGCCACCAAGAACATCAAGGTAGAGGGGGTGGCCCTGCCTGGGGTCCTGCCAGCCCTGCGGTGCCCGGGGTGGTGACAGCTGTCCCCCTGTGCAGGTGATCATGGCCACCAACAGGATCGACATCCTGGACTCGGCCCTGCTGCGCCCCGGCCGCATCGACAGGAAAATCGAATTCCCCCCTCCCAACGAGGAGGTACCAGAGCCACCCCTGGCTGGCCCTGTCCCTGCTGTCCTCACCCTCTCCCTGGGAGCCATTCCTGGGCTCCAACCATCCCTGTGCTCCTGCTCCAGGCCCGCCTGGACATCCTCAAGATCCACTCACGGAAGATGAACCTGACCCGGGGCATCAACCTGCGGAAAATCGCGGAGCTGATGCCGGGGGCCTCGGGGGCTGAGGTGAAGGTGAGCTGGGGACTCTGGGGACACGGGGCTGCCATGGGGGCTGCTACGGGGGACACTGGCTGATGCTCCCCTCCTGTCCCCTCAGGGTGTGTGCACAGAGGCAGGGATGTATGCCCTGAGGGAGAGAAGAGTGCACGTCACACAGGAGGACTTTGAGATGGCTGTGGCCAAGGTGGGTGCCAGGGGAGAGGTGACACTGGGGGGTGATGGCGGCACAAAGTGTCCTGGGTGGCGTTTACCAGGAGCACAAACAAGGGGGTTGTCACCGTGAGTGACATGGGAGACGCTGGTGAGCCCTCCCTGTGCAGGGCTGAAACGTCTTTTTTGGGTAATTAACACCCAGTTTGGGCACTGAATGTTGGACCCACCCCTGTCCTCTCCCCCCAGGTGATGCAGAAGGACAGTGAGAAGAACATGTCTATCAAGAAGCTGTGGAAGTAACGGTGAGGTTGGAGCTGCTCCCTCTGTGCTGTCAATAAAGAGCTGCTGTGGCCAGGCCTGGGTGCTGAGTTGGGGACTGATTTGGGGTTGGGGTGGGGGCTGCAGGACATTGCACACCCCACAAGAGCTGTGGGACACAGCACACACCCCACAGAGCTGCTGCTAACTGCTTTTATTAGAAAAGATCCAAAATAGACAAAAACTGGTTACACGAGAGGCAGAGCAGGAACCCCTGAGCCCAACCCTGGGAATCTGTAAACGCCCCCCCAACCTGGGAGCCTGCAGGGGGGCAAAGGCACTTCAGTGAGGGTGGCAGTGGTGGCACTGCCCCCTGGTCCCCTCCCTCCTCCCCCGTATCTCCAGTTCTTGGTGCCCCTGTGCCCCCACAGGCTCCTGGGGCAGAGCCAGCCCCTCTGCCCCCAAACCTCATCAAGACAAGTGGTTAATTATGGAATTATGTAAAACAGCGGGAGGGGGGGTAAGGAATAAACTGATTGTCACAAAATGAGCCCCAGCCCTCGGTTCCATATCTCCAGAGCAGCCCTGGGAGCCTCCCTGAGCCCCTGCAGAGCCCAGTGTGGGAAGAGGAACTCAATCAATATATTAATTAATCAAATACAAACCCACTGTACAAAACGCTGCCTTTTTTTCTTTTTTCGTGGTTTTTTTTTTGTTTTTTATATATATAAAACCTGTTCACAAAAATAGTGCAAAACGTCGGGGGGAGCTGGCGTTTGGAATGACGAACTTTGGTAGAAGAGGGGCAGGGCGGGCCTGCGGGGCTCGGGGTGGGGCTGGCAGCTCCTCCCCATGGGCACGGGCAGCGCTTCCCGGCTCCCGGGGGAGTTTTGAGAGCGGGAGGGGAGCGGGGAACCCGCGGGGGCTGCGCGGGGAGGGGCGCGATGCAAAGCGGAGGAGGCGCTGCGGGGGCCTGGGGGGAGCGGGGACTCCGCTGTGCTCGGCCCGGGGAGCCCCGGGGGGCTCCCATCCCTCCAGGCACATCGGGTTTGTGCAAGTGCTGTGGCTTCCAGTCGGTACCGTCCGGCTCGGGCAGCGGGGCGGGAGCGGCCCCCGGGCCCCGCCCGCCTTAAGTGAGGCGGATCCCGAGCACTTGTTCCAGTTCCTGCCGGCGCTGCTGGACCTGGGGACACCGCGGCGGTCAGGGAGGGACAGGGGACACTGCCCGGGCTCCCGGGGCTCTGTCACTGCCACCCCAACCCCGTCCCACACCCCAGCTCACCTTGGCAAAGATGTGTCTGCCCACGGCCTCCTGCGCCCAGGGCTGTTGGTAAAACTCGGCCCGCCGCTCCTCCTCGGGGTTCCCGATCACATCCGTGATGATCTGACCCAAACGTGACGGGGCAGCGGGAGTGAGGGATTCAGAGGGATCCACGAGAGACCCAGACCCCTCCCTGAGCTCCGGGATGGACCCAGACCCCTCCCTGAGCTCCGGGAGGAACCCAGACCCTTCCCAGTCCCTGACTCTGCCCAGCCCCAGGGCTTCAGAATCATGCAATTGTTAAGGCTGGAAAAGAGCTCCCACCCTTAGCCCAACACCACCACCACGTTCACCAGTGACCCACATCCCCAAGGGCCACATCCATGGTTCTGAACCCCTCCAAGGATGGGGACTCCACCACTGCTCTTGGCAGCTGTGGCAGCACTGGGCAACCCCTTCCCGGAAAACATTTCTCCCAATATCCAACCTAAACCTCCCCAAAATTGTTCCCCTTTACCTTGAGGTCCCTCCTCTGGGATTTGATCCACTCCTGGATGAAATCCTGGGGGTTGTTGCTGAAGCTCAGCATGAAATCCCTCTGTGTCTTCAGCTGGTTGATGGACTCGATGGTCTCGTGGATCTGGGCAGGTGACAGGGGTCAGAGGAGCTGTGTCCCCCCAGGACACGGCTGCCCTCTGGCAGTGTCCCTTCCTTACCTTGGCATCCAGGGAGGCAATTTCCTGCTGGTTGGTGGTGGAGGCCAGGAAATTGCTCATCTGGGCTTTGAGGGGATCGTCCACCTCCACGTCGATGTCGTAGCAGGCTGTCTTCTTCTGGTCATTGGGGTCCACACTGGGGGAATGGGGTTGGGGGGACCTGCTGAGCCCACACCTGGCTGGGGGTGGATGGACCCCCAACAGCAACACCAGTGCCCCAAGAAGCCTCAAATTTCGTGGTTCTTCCTCTCCAAGGTGACTTGTGCTGATCCTTCAGGCTGGAGACCTCAAAGCCTCCTGTGCCCCCAGCCCACAGAGGCCCCCAGCCCTGGGGACACTGCTTGGCCCACAGAGCCCCCCCAGTCCTGGGGACACTGCCTGGCCTGTGGAGTCCCCCAGTCCCAGGGACACTGGCCACTCTCCACGCCATGGGGCACCCCCAGTCCTGAAGACACTCCCCATCCCATGGAGCCCCTTCAGCCCTGGAGCCATTGCCCACCCAGTGCCCAGCCCAGAGCCCTCAGGGCTGTGCCCCCACCTGATGGTGTGGTTGATGATGATGGGGTCCGGGTGCTGCAGGAGCCCTGCCAGCTTCATGGGGATCTCGGAGAAGCGCATGCGGACGCAGTTGAAGATCTGGGGGGGCAAAGCAGAGCCTTTGGCACCCGTGGCAGGGTCTCCCCTCACCTGTGCAGCCAGGTGGGGCATCCCCAAGCTGGTGGTGCAAGCCAGAGCCCAGGGAAGGGGCACAGCCAGAGCCTGGAGGGGCTGTGGAGCCGGTGAGAAGCTTTTCCCAGCCGGAGGAGGGGGGAATGTGCAGGTACCTGGCGGAAGTAGCGGTTACAGTTGATGAACTCCTTCTCGTGGCTGTCCTGCAGTTTGTTGTGTTTGATGTAGAGCCACAGGGCCTGCATGATGCTGGCCCTGGTCTGGGTGTGCACCCCCAGCAGCCGGGCCAGCCGTGGGTCCAGCTTGTACTGGGGGGGCTGCATGGACAGCCAGGGTCAGCCACAGAACCAGCCAGGCTGGAAAAGCCCCCCCGGAGCAGAGCCCAGCCTGACCCACCCCTGTCCTGTCCCCAGCCTGGAGCACTGAGTGTTCCTGGGACACTCACTGAGTGTTCCTGGGACAGCTGAAGGGATGGGGACTCCAGCACCCTCTGGGCAGCTTGTCCTGCTTTTTAACTCCCTTTCCATGAAGAAATTCCTCCTGCTGCCCAAAGAAGAGGCAGTCGGGAGTGTCCCCCCCCAGGCCCTGTGTCACTGCAGCTCCATGCCCAGAGCTCCCTGTGCACCTTTTAATCCCTGCATCCCCCAAACCCTCATCCAAGGCCCTGTCCCAGTTTTTAACTCCCTTTCCATGGAGAAATTGCTGCTGCTGCCCAAAGAAGAGGGGGGTGTCTGTCTGGCCCCTGGGAGTCCCCCCCAGCGTCTGTGTTACTGCAGGTCCATGCCTGGAGCTCCCCGTGCTCCTTTCAATCCCTGCACTTCCAAATGCTCATCCAAAGCCCTGTCCCAGCCCATCCCCACCCCTGGGTGGCCCCAGGCCGTACCTGGTGGTCCAACATGAGCAGCAGGGTGCACTTCACATTGACATCCCCGGGACGCTTCACCTGGAAGCCGTCGGTCTCCTGGGTCGTGGGCATCCGGTGCCACTGCAAGGGACAACGGGGACACTGCTCAGGCCAGGGCCATGGAACCAGCCCTGCCAGCAGCGTTGGTGTCTGCAGAGCTGGGCTGGGGCTGGCACAGCCACACAGCCTGGGGCACCCCTGGCAGCTCCTGGTCCCAGTGGTGGCAGCTCAGAGCTCTCCCAGCCCAGCACTGGCATGGACTGGGGAAGCTCCAGCCCTGAGTGCTTGGTTTGCAGGGCTCCCACAGCTTCTAGATCAATCCTGCAGGAATGTGCACCAGAGCTGCTCCCAGCTTCCCCTGGAAGGGGATTCAGCCTCTCCACAGGATCCCCCAGGGCAAAAGCACGAGCTGGGTGCAGGGAGAGCTCCAGGCAGGAGCACCCAATAAAGTCTGATCTCTCTCCCAGGCATGGCTTAAACCCCCCAAGGACCCTCCAGCTCAGGGACAGGCAGGTGGGCAAACCCTTCTTCCCACAGGGCACTGGGGTGAGCCTCTGTGGGATCAGCACCCCAGTGGGGACCCATCTGTGCCAGGCTGGGGCAAAGCTGCCTCTGGGGCCGCATCCCTGCCCCACACACCACAGCTCCAGCTCTGGCTGAGCACCTGGGCTGGGAGGGCTCAGACCTGAGCTCTGCCAGGGGAGAAAAGCATCCTAAACCTGAGCTGGGAAAGCAGGAGAGCCCAGTCCCCATGGAGGCCTGACACTGTTCCCAGCCCCAAAAACCTGCTCAGGCCCCTCTCCCAGTAGGACAGGCCCTGGCCTGGGAGCTGAGCACCCAGAGGGGAGCAGCAGGGCTGTGCTCTATTTCCCACCGGGATCCCCTCCCACCTCACCTCCACCAGGTGATTGTCTGGCCCATAGAGCTCCTTGTCCAGCTCGATCACGAGGCTCTTGAAGAAGGAGGAGAACTTCCTCTTCTGCTTGCTGGGCTGCAGACAGGGCAGCAGAGATTCATGATCCCAAATCCAGCCCCAGGCCCCAGAGCTCAGCTGCTGCCCCAGCTGAGTTCTCAGCACAGCACCAGTGCTTCCAGCACCTCCTCATCCCTCCTGGATGGTCCTGATGGATCAGTGCTCCTCCTCCCACCTGCTCATCCCTCCTGGATGCTCCTGATGGACCATTGCTCTTCCTCCCACCATCACTCCTTCCCTCCTGGATCCTTATGGACCATCCTTATGGACCAGTGCTCCCACCCCTCGTCATCCATCATGGATTGTTATGGACCAGTGCTCCTCCTCCCACCATCATTTATTTATCCCTCCTGAGTCCTGATGGACCCACAGCTCCTCCCACCAGCACCTGATCCCTCCTGGATGATCCCCATGGACCAGAGTTCTTCCCACCAGCACCTTATCCCTATCCCAGCTCCTCCTACCATCACCCCATCCCTCCTGGATCCTGACCAGCTCCTCCCTCCCTCCCTCCCCCTGGATGCTCCTCCCACCATCCCCCCAGCCCTGCTGCATCCTCACATCCTCCAGCAGCTTCCCCTCCACACGGAGCTCCCAGGAGGCCACACGCTCGCCCCCCTCTCCCTCCTCCTTGGCCGGGGTGAAGGTGTTGGAGATGTAAATCCTGAGCTTCCGCTTTTGCTGTGGGATGGGAACAGAGAGAGGGAGGGACAGGGTGAGAGGGGACTGCAGCACCCATCTCCAGCTCAGCAGGAGAGGAAACGGCCTCAGGGGAGGTTAGAGTGGATATTAGGGAACATTTATCCACACAAAGGGTTGTGAAACATTGGAATGGGCTGCCCTGGGCAGAGGTGGAACCTCCCCATCCCTGAAGTGCCCCAGAAACGTGTGGATACTCCACCTGGGGACATGGCTTAGGGTGATGGTTGGACTGGATGACCTCAGAGGATTTTTCCAACCTTCAGTTTCCCACGTTTCCATGACTTCCAGCCCCCCTGCCAGGCCCCAGCTCACCGTCAGGGGTTTCTTGATGGCCTCCTGGATCTCCATCCTCTTCCGAGCGATGGTTTGGTCCAGCTTGCGCTCGAAGGCCAGGAGGTCCATGTAGGCCTGGGATTCTGGGACCAGCTCCCGGATCTGGGCACAGGAATGGTC